TATATATATATATATATATATATATATATATATATATATAAACCAACTGTTTTATCCATTCCTCAGTTAATGAACATTTGGGTTGTTTTCAAGATTTAGCTATGACAAATTTTTCTGCTATGAACATAGGTGCACATAAATGGATGCAACTTGAAACCACACTCATAAGTGAAATAAATCAGACCCGTGTGTGTAAACATCACATTGTCTCCCTAGTGTAGAAGGTATATGAGTAAATAAGATCCAAAAGGTATGTAGACATTGTGAGTTGGAAAGAAACTGTTCAAAAGTAAAGGGAAACATGGGGGGAAAGGGAAAGGAAGAAAGAGAAAAGGGAAAAAATATAATTATACACAAGGTAGTTAAGATAGCTGTACAGCTAGTTTCTCTCAGTTCATTGAAGAGAAAGGTTTGTGCTAATATTGTCTAGACATTATTTCAGGCCTATATCTTGTGCTCTGAGTAACTACTATGAAGATAACAACAAACAATGTATTAACTATTACTAATCTCCTATTAGCTTGATTTGAAACTGGTTTTATTTTATTTTATTTATTTTTCTTCTTCTTCTCTTTGAAAATAAAAAAGAGCAGTTTAAATTATTGCATAGTGGATATAATGATGACAGGAAAAACAAAATGATACAGAAAATCACAGAATGCCAGAGAGCTTGGAGAAGATACAAGAGACAAGTAAAAGATTTAAATGTAAAGATTCCAGTAAGTCAAACTCAACAATGAAATTGATGCTGAATTGATTAATTCAAGCCTTAAGATTTCATGCACCAAGTATTAGTCTGATTTCTCTTTTTAACAAATTGACTAATGCAGATCATTGAGATTAGCATCATTGTAAAACTAATGAAGGGAAGGAACCAGACCTTGAGTGTTATTTCAATAATTATTTCCTTCAGGAGACGTCAGATAAGAGACAACCACTTAACATTTTAAAAGTATAAAACCAGTTCTTACACTAAGTGGTTGCAAGGTCCCAATGTGCTGGGAGCCTGGAGAGAAAAAGCTACAAAAAATGGCTTTTGCCCCAGATGGCCTACTTAGGATGTTAGTAAGGATTGCCTCTTCAGTATTCTATAGCTGTGAGGAAGAGGCCAAGGAGAGAAAACAAAGAGACCGAGAAAAAGCAGCTGCTTTTGCTGCAGTACCAAGAGAAACAGACCCTAAGTCTGATTCCTGGGGCCCCAAGAAGAACTTGATGATTACATTCATCTGCTCCCACTGTTAAAAGCCAGGCCACCTCAAGAGGAACTGCCCTAAGAAGCCCCCTGGGCCATGCCCTGAATGCAAATGTGACCACTGGAGATCGGTCTGCCCTCTGAAATGGAGGGCCCAGAGCTCAGACCCATCTTACCAGTTAGTCTAACAGGAATGAGGGGGCCCAGGGCATACTCTGCCTTCTCCTTCTAGCCAGACTGTCATCTCCATGGAGAAGCCCCGGGTAATCATGACTATGGAGGAACAAGAAAACAGCCTGTTGCTAGACACAGGTGCAAGTATCTCAGTCCTTCTTTTCAATCCTGGCCTTCCTTCCAGCTGTCACACCTCAGTGAAAGGAGTCACTGGTGAGGAGGAAATATGCTATTTTTTCACAACCATTAGGCTGTAACTACTTGTTAGATCTTTTTTGGAAATCTCTGTCTTCCTGAGAAACCACTTTGAAGATACCACCATGTATTACAGCAGCCACTGATATTTTCCTACTAATCTGTCCATAACTCTGTAGTGTTTGTATTGTTCCTATGCTATTTCATAAATGGTTGTATGTTTATTACTATGTGTTTCCTGAAAATAGTCAATGATTATTCAATTGGTCACTCATGTATAGCTCTATTTATTTTCTTTAGAAACCACTTTGAAGATACCAAAGTATAGTACAACAACCATTGATCATCTCCTACCACTTTTGTCTGTAAGTCACTATTATTTGTCTATTTGTTTTCCTGAGAAACTATCTTGTAGGTAACAATATGTAAAACAATAACCATTGATAATTTCCTACCACTTTGTCTGTAATTCGGTAAGCCCCCCTATTACTGTTATCCTTCTTTTACTCTTTAAAATAAAATTTTAAAAAACCAGTTCTTAAGGTTGATGAATGCTTTAACCTACATTGGTGGGTCAATTTTGCTAATTTAAGAGAAAAAATTGGGGTTACTATAATGAAAAACATTATTATATTTGCATTTTAGCATGGGAAGACATCCCTTTATTGTTTTATTTTCCTAAGTAGGAGCATTTGTGGGAGAATGCATAGTAAAGCAGTACTGTGCATTCATTCTATTATATAAATATATGCAAGATGATTAAGATAGCTATACAGCTAGTTTCTCTCAGTTCATTGAAAAGAAAAGTTTATGCTAATATTGTCTAGACATGATTTCAGGCCTATATCTTGTGCTCTGAATAACTACTATGAAGATAACAATAACAGTGTATCAACTATTACTACTCTCCTATTAGCTTGATTTGAAACTAATCATTATATCCACTACATTATCTTAACTACCTTGTGTATATTTACATAATCTCTTTCATTGTATTGATTAGGTCAGAATGATAATAACTCATTTACCATAGGCATTCTTTGCCACCATACACAGTGTATCCAATCAGATTCTGTATTCAAAGTGAATAATAAAATATGAGTTTTTACAGTTCCCATAACTATCAGAATAATAGTTCTTTCAATTTTTTTAATGAGTGGTTAAATTTCTCTCACTTGTCTAGGTTCTGATAGAGGATAGCTTCTCTTAGTTCACTGAATTTTTTGTGATAATATCTGCTTGTTGCTTTGTAAGAGAGAATCTTTTTTTGTGGATGTCTGTACTCTGAGTAAATACTTTGAAGACAATACACAGTGTATTAACTTACTATATTGTTATGAAATTTTGTTTTATTTTTTTCATAAAATACACAAAAAAAGGAAGACAGCTTGTGTTTCAGTTAATAATGCCAGGAAAATATAGGAGAAGGAAGACCAAGTCATAGATTTAGTATTTATTAGCTATTTTTTCTTTTCTATAGTGAAAGATGCCTCTGCCTTTCTTCTTTCTCCTATGTCTCCAAGATTAGAACAGATCTGGGGAGTATAAGCCATGTGATGGAACCTTAACATGACTTACTTATGATCATGTAATGTAATGTGGTCCTCCTACTCTTAATTACTTATGCCATGTGAAAAATTTACTTTTTTTCATTTTCTCCTATAGAAAATGAATCATCAAAGAAATAGACTCTAAAAAGTAACCTTTCATTCTTTTTTAAATATTAGTAACATTTCATTTGATTTTATGAGAATATTTAGCCATTGTTATAATAAATAATCCATGCAGACATTTTGAACTGTTATTACACATCAAATGCTATTTGCTAAAATTTATTGATTCATTTAGTTTTTAAAGCTAAAATTCTAAACGTTATAACTTAATAGTAATGAAAAGGAAAAGGACAGAAAATATATTGGGAAATTTTTGTTTTACTGTTCTGCCTGTGAAGCCAAATGAAATTTTAGGTGAGAGTACAAAAAGAACAGTACAGAACAGTACAAAAGATTCAAATATCAGACTCTGCAGTAGCTGGACTCTGATGTCTGCTTATTATTCTCCAGAATTCATCCCTTTCCTTCTACTCAGTTTATTTCCCCTAGTTAATTACTTAAATCCTTCTTCAACCCCACTTGAAATTCACAAAGCTTTCAATTATAACTCATGTGGTATCTTTCTAGCCACCCAACACCCACCCCCTCCACACACACCTAAGCCTAACACTCAGCGGGTGCACACTTGTCCCACACACTGGCTAGCCTCCATTCTAATTGCTTGGCTACACTTTCCTATTGACTCTAACTCATACCATAGTAAATGCAACTTTTACATTTTTACTTCTGTTACTCATTATTAAATTCAATGAATACACACTGAACCTCTGCTCTAGAAACTTAAAATAGTATGGTATATAAGGATCATTCCAGTCTTTGCCTTCAGAGTTTATAGTCCAGCAAGATTTTGTCATGCAGTTGACTATGAATTTATTCTAACAATGGAAAATCACATTCATATATGCACACATATATCTTTATATATATAGATGTATGTAGTAGGTAAATAGGCAGATAGGTAGATCTTGTGTGTGTAGCTGTATTTCAAACATTTATTTGCATCTGTCATAGTGCCCTGAATAAGGCTCTTCTTTAAAAAAATCAAAGAAAAGTGATAGACCCATTCATTAAAAAAATGAATTACAGAGCCAGGTGTGGTCGCACACACCTGTAATCCCAGCACTAGGAAGTCCTGAGGCAGGAGGACTGTTGTTGCAAGTTCGAGACCAGCCTGGGCTACAAAGCGAGCTGAAGACCACCCTGAACTGCATAGCGAAACCCTGTCTCAAAAAGACAAAAGAAAAAAAATGAATTACAGAATAAGAAGTTGACAAGAAGAAGAGTCAGGCCTAGTGTCACATGATGAGATATTCTAAATATTTATTGATGGAATGAATTTGGAAAAAGATCTCTGGTAAGATTCTTAGAGAATCTGTCAAACAGTGTTCCTCACTTGCTAGTTTACATTTTTCATGCCATCCATGGTTTATTTAGTAACAGATTTCAAAGACAGATTTTAAATGAATCTCATTTTACAGATGGGAAAATGAACCAGGAGGCAACTTGATTTGTTCAAGCATTTATCGGCTGAATATAGACAAGTAGCTGCCATAGCTGCAGCACAAATATACTGTAATGTTTTTCCTTATAGAACAGAATAGAGGTGTCACAGCGAGGGAGATCAGAAGCAAACTTAGTTAATCAAAACAAAGTATTACAAAACAGAAGAGTCCAGAAATAGATACACACATATAAAGTCATCTAAGTTTGAAAAATAGCAATATAATTTATAAAAATCAAGCTTTTGGTTAGCTTAGGACTTCTAGCCAAGACAAGGTGGTACAGACTTTGTCTGTGCTCTTCCAGGATAAGTGGAAAAATAATGCAATGGGAAATCAAAGAGGAATTCTGAACGGCAGGGAGAGGAAGAATAATAAGTTTGTGACCCCAGGACTGGAGGAATAACGCAATTGTAAGCCATTTGGGGCCCCAACCCTTTCCTCACATGAAAGAAAATCACCTAGGCCCAGCGTTTTCTGACGCACAACCTACCAACAGCCTAGACAGCTCAGGTGGTATTATTCCTTCTCTGAATCAGAGCTGAGTTCCCCAACAAAAACAGGTAACACTAGACAAACCCAACAACAAGGCAAGGGGGAGCCACTGGGAACTTTGATAGTATAAGTGGCCAGGGAAAGAGCTCTCCTTCAGCAGGCTTGACACTTTCCTCTCTCACCGTGAGGTACTGAGACAGTAGAGTGCCACGTGGGAGAAGAACCCCACCTTGAGAAGCAGCCTACCCTAGAAAGCCTTTTTCTCCAGAGATCTGGGACTCCCCTTCCTAACCCTGAATCAGAAAAGGGTACTGGGAAATGACACCCACACAACAAAAACCTGGCCAACACACAACTTCATCATCAAGGGCCTAATGCTGTACTTGTTTCTCCTGCAGAAATATACCTGGCATCATGGCTAAAGGAAACCCATTCCGCCTTAGCTGTTATCATCAAAGCAAGCAGTAGTCCCACTGGGACTGTATAACCAACCAGACCAAAGCAATGCCACACAGACTCTAAATATTAAACTGTCACTGAAACCAAAGCCCACAAAATCTGACCATGATCTGCATGCTAAGCTAAAGCAGAATAACTATCTGCTAAAGTAAAAGTTTTAGTAAAACATAGATTTTCCTGACAAAACCAAAATGTCTAAGATACACTAAAACCACACCTTGAATAAGTAAAAATCATAAGCTGATATCAACATAGTGATAAATCAGATGGTGAGATAATCTGAACAAGGATTTTAAAGTAGTCATAGTAAAAATCTCTATCAAATGAAGACGAGTAACTGAAAAATACATTAAGAAAAGCTGACTGGAGGGCTTAACAGAATAGTAAAGATGGCAAAGCATATACAGTGATAAAATGTATAGGGAATGTTTAAATTTTTAAAAATTACAATAGAAGATATGCTGCCATTAATATCCATTGAAAGCTCCCACTCACTTCAGCTACACTTATCCCATCTTTCTTCCCATTTTCTGAAGCTGTTCTGGAAGTTCTCTTTCATGAGAGCTATGACTTGTATTCAGATATCCCCCAGAAGCCTCATGTGTTCATAAGTGAAGGTTTTCTGAGCTGGCTGGATCTAGGATGCATGATTCTAATATTAAGGGTGTATGGTACTAAATTAGGCCACTGATTGGAATTGCCATAGTACTGGGTATAGATAATGGGAAATCCCAACCTGGGTGTAAGTGGCACAACACAAAAGCCTTGTAACCTAGATGGAATAAAAGGGAAAGGGAGGCTTGCTTCATTGCTGCTTCTGCTTCTTGCTTCTTGCTGCCTTCTTCCTGCCCTGCTATGCCATGGACTGTTTCTCCCCTGCACTGCCCCTGTGCCATGCCTCCCTACTTGGATCCTGACAACTATGTATGGAAATCTCTATAAACTGTTAGCTGAAATGAACCTTTTCTTCTTTAACTTTGGATGTTGGGTATTTTGTCTCAGCAATAAGAAAAGTAACTTAGAAAATGAGTGGCTTTAGTTGCACTGTTGTGGCTATGTCAATGTTGTGAATTGATTCAAAACATCTATCTTTCACAGTCATTTTGATTTTGGAGAAGGGTCAGAAATCACACCATGCCTAATTCAGTGAATAAGGCAGATGAGAACACATGTAATGGTTTTACTTGACAGAAGTTGTCATAAACATTTTAAATTGGTTGAAGACATCCAGGTAGCCATACACAAAAAAAAACCCCACAAAAGTAGACTTTCAAAACTCCTTCAGAAAGTGGAAAGAAGGATAGGTTTTTCAAGTGAGGGGTGATTTGATGGGATTAACGATAATGTGGTTTTTATTGTAATTATTTTTGTGAATTTAAACATTCACCAGATTGTACAATCTTAACACATAGAACCGGTAAAGTTGAAAACACCTCAACTGAATTTATTGTTAGAACAATAGCAAGAAAGTAGAATAAAAAATAAACAAACCAGAACTTCACCACAAGTAGGGCAACCTCATAAACAGTAGGGCAACAAAAAATTAATGATATTGGAAACAGGAAAAAGGAAAGAAAGTCAATTTTAAAAATCACTCAAAATAATCACTAAGATTCATAAACCTGCTGTAAGACTTGAAAAGAAAAGACACATATCAACAACGTCGGGAATGATATAGAAGCTCTCACTACAGATGCCCCAGTTCTTATGCTACTAATAGGAAAGCACCACAAATACTTTACATTTCTGAATTTGACAATTTGAAGAAATAAGCTATTTCTAAAAAATTACAGCTGTCTGATCATATAAGGCTAAAAGTAAGGGCCAATATTATGCATTGCATGAACACCTGATGTGTTGGGAGGGCCTTGAATGGCTCACCTGCAATTTCCTTCCCACACTCTGACCCCATAGGTAAAGCTTCCATTTCTTGTTTATCTTTGGCTCACAGGTCAGGGTTTCCTGCCAACCCACAGGATTATCCAAACAAGCAAATCCCAACCTCTATTAAAGGAAAAATAAATGATGATACTTATTTAAAGCACAGTAAGGCAGACTTCATCCAGGACTCTTGCAAGAAGGATAGAGACTAAAGCAACGGGGTTTCACAAGGTGAGTGATTATGTTAGATTCAAATACAGCAAGGCAAGTGACACTTTATACCCAAGGACAAGGAAGTGGGTCAATCAATGGAAAATTACTAAGGAAAACTCTAGAGGTAAGGGATATACTGGCTGCAGTAACATGATAGAATTCCTGCTGGAGCTAGGCCAGGGTGTCAGACATCTCCTGGGATATGGTGGAGGAAGAGATTCACATGCAGTTCAATGAGCAAGTAATAGTTTTCTCAACAAATATACTGGCACAAATACATACCCATAAGACAGAAATAATGAAGAGATAAATGACTAAATCTTATATTTCATACAAAAATTAATTCATTTGAATATAAAATCTAAGTATATTAAATTCCTAGAAAATTGGTAAAAATCTCCAGGATTTGGAGCAAGGCAGAGTTCAAAGACAAAGAGAAAGATGGGAGATTGGAATTCCTCAAAATTTAAAACTTTTCAACAAAGACCACATTATGTGGCTAGAAAGCCTGTTACTGACTGGAAGAAACTATTGTATTTGCAAACCACCTATCAATTAGCCAGTGTGTAAAACTTAGAAAGGATTCTTAAAACTTGACAGTATAAAAGCAAACAATCCAGATAAGAAATAGAAGACATAAAGAAACAATTCCCTCAAAAATACATGCGGATGGCCTTCAATAGATGACTGGTTAAACAAATTGCATTATAGCCATATTATGGAATACTACTCAGAAATTGAAATAAACAACCTATTGATGCAAGCAAAAATTTGACAGATTTCTGGGCAATTATGCTAAGTGAAAAAAGTCAGTCCTACAGTGTTCCAAAATGTGTGATTCTACTTACATGACATATTTGAAATGGTCAGAGTTGGAAACGGTGAAGACCTTAATAACAAGTTACTGAGGTAAGAGTGAAGGGAGATGGCTTTGGTAACAAGAAGGTTCCAGTAAAGACCCTTGTGATGATGGAATCACTCTTTATCTTGATTGCAGTACTAATACATGAACTTATGTCTACGGTAAACTGTATACAGCTAAATACACGTGCATCTACTTACATACACCTCAAGCATACATTCCAAAGAGGAGTATTAAGACTGAATAATTGAATCAGATCAATGTGAATCCTGTTTGTGATCATGTATCAAAGTTTTACACAAATTTTTGTAAGATGATAATTTTGGGGCAAGTGGGAAAGTACTTAAGATATATCTGTATTATTGTTTTATAACTACATGCACATTTACAAATGATTTCAAAAATCTTTTTAAATTTAAATGCTTTAATCTCAGCACCCTGAAAGGTTAGGACAGGAGGATCATGAGTTCAAGCAACTTAGTGAGTTCCTGCCTCAAGGCTGGGACATAATTCAGGGTGAAAACCCTGGTTTCAATTCCTTAGTACATCAAAAACAAATAAATAAATAGGAATAGTAGATTAAAATAATCTGCAAGTGCAAGAGAAATGTTGTGTGTTAGTTATCTTTCTGTCACTGTAACAAAGTGCCTGATACCAAGATCTTAAAAGGAGAAAAGGTTTTTTTGTCTCATGGCTTCAGAGGTTTCAGTCCACTGTGGGCTGGCTCCACTGTTTTGGGGCCTATGGCAAGACAGAATATCATTTCAGATGAAATTCTGACAGAATATAATTTGATCCTGATGGAGCAAATCTGTTCACCTCATGGCAGCTAGGAAGCAAAGAATGGATGGAAAGGTTGTGGGTCCTAGTATACCCTAAGGCCATGTTGACATTAACCTAAGTTCTTTTCAACAAAGTCCCACACCCTAGAGTTGCCACCACTGCCCTGTAGCCCAATCAGGTGGACACCAAAGCTGCAGCACAAGAGCATTGTGGGGAGGCAAGCTCCAAACCATAAAGCGTAGTTTCCTTGGTTGTATTAATAATTTCAAATGAGATTTTTTTTTACCCTAAAACTACAAATAAGCCATGTATGTTTAAATAGTTCTTTATACAATTTGCAAAGCAGTGTCTCATGTATTATGTCATATGATTCTTATGGGCCTTGGAAATAGTGCTATTATAAATTCAGTTTTATAGATGAGGCACAGGGGGATGAAAAGTTTTGATAAGTATGTTTTTTCCTTCAAGGGGTCCAGACAGTACTTTAAAACAGCTCTTCTCATTCCACATTGTATCTTCTTTGTCTCATTGACTTACTGATTTCTTGAGGATTCAGAAAATCCCATTTTCTGTTGTGTAAGATCGTCAGTAATCACATTAGCCATCATACATAACATCGCAGATGGAGAGACACTCAGCATCTTGATGTGGGTTTGTAGTGGCACATTTTTCAGGTCAGTATTCTCATTCTCAGCAAAGCAACAAAATTTTAAACCAAAATAAAGAAAAAGGACTTCTATTATGATTTAGATCTAAAACATACCCCAAAAGTCTCACTGGGTTAGGTGATTGGACCATAGGGCTGCTATATTCACCAGGGGATTTATCAACTAATTTGTTCTAACTGTGCTGTTAGGGGGTGAGTCGTAGTTGGAGGAGAGTCACTGGCTAGGAGACCTCAAGGTTGTTTCTTCCCTTGGCTCATCTCTCTCTGTCTCTGTCTCTGTCTTTCTCTCTCTCTCTCTCTGCCTTTGCTTCTTGGCTGTGATCGGTTGAATAACATTTCTGTTTCATACCTTACTACCATGATATTTCTGTCTTGGGGACAGACATACATGGAGTAAATAAATCCTCTAAAACCTGTGCATCAAAATAAACCTCTCCGCCTTTTAAACTGCAGGGGTTGGGTATTTTGTCCCAGCAATGGGACAACTTCTTTCACTTTTATGATAATTTGAATAATAGCATTTTGTCTGTGCCTAAGTTTCCCAAATAAAATATAGTAATGTAAAAGAAAGTGCTGGTTTTTTATGAAAAGGAAAGAAACATTAACAATTAGGTATGTAGGAAGAAACATAGACCAACTTGATGCATCATGGACTTTCTGATGCAAAATGTTCTTATTCTTGTTAATTCTTATACTTGGATTTTTGGGTCAAATGTGTTAACTTGCAAAAATCCACAATAATATGTATAATAATGAATTCTCCTTGAGCGTTATTCATGCTAAAAATGAGAATGAATTTTTGCTATGTGTATATATTAATAGGATATTGTTCTGTTTAACTTTTAGTTGAGATGGTTACTAAGAAATGTTATCTAAATTTAACCCTGAGCCCATGACTTGATTTGATTTTACCCTGATTACTATAGCTGGCTGAGACCTCTTGGTGTATGGGACAGTGAATCTTAGTATATCATTTTAGATAGAATAGTTTTAGTAAAGGCCTAAAAATGTGTCCTGGGAAACTTCCCGGGGAAACTGTAAACTTTGCCAGGGAATGTCTTCCCAGTTAAGGAAAACCCAGGCCTAGATAATCATCCGTGACCCTGCCTGGGTTGTTTCATTTTTTTTCCCTGACCCTAGATAAACATTGTAACCAAAAAGGAAATATATGGTTATCAAAAAGGGAGACATATAGAACGTAATCAGGGAAACATCTATCATGGCTAGACGTGTGACCAGAATGTAACCTCGGTCCCAGTGAACAAGAGGAAAACCGTATGGCCACCTGAGTCAGCGACGTAACATCCCAATCTGTAACCATGGAAACCCAAAACATATTTAAGAGTGGAACAAAGATTAGCAGAGCGGTGACAGGTCCTAACTTGTTAGCTGGGGATGGATGGCGGCTGTCCTAAAATTCATAAACTCTGTTTGCCCTAAATAGAGTTCTTTCGGTCTTCTGTGGAATTGCCATTACAATGGTTGCAAAGAAACAAAGCAAACTTGAATTATAGACTGAAAAAAATATTATCAGCCAGGCTGGGGATATAGCTCAGCGGCACAAGTGCCTGCCTGGCAAGCGGAAGGTCCTGTGTTCGATTCCTGGTACCAAGAAAAAAAAATATTATCAGCAGCAGAAATATGAGTTATTTCATATTTGAATAAAGAATTCACATACTTTGACACTCAATAGGATAAAAGACAAAAACAATTTTTAAAACCTTTGAAATTCTTCAGTAAATTTTACATATTAACTGAAGGACAAAATTAACTTGATCTGTGTTAGAAAATTTCTGTGAGATCAGAAGTAAGAAGTGATTTTATAAAACAGAAACAGCAGTTCAAAGCATAAGGGCCCATTCTTTCTGTACAATCAAATTGAAGTTGGTGCAACTCTTCCACTTATTTTTTTGTTTTGTTTTGTTTTGTTTTTTTTCCAGTACTGGGAATTGAACTCATGACCTTGTGCTTGCCAGGCAGGTGCTGTGCCACTGAGCTAAATCCCCAGTCCTCTTCCTCTTGCACTTATTTATTGACACTCAGCTCCTCCCCAAGCCCTTTGCAGCTAACAGTGCTAAATCACATTTTCCCCTTACAACAGGCCTTCATCTGACATCCTTTGGAACTGAGTAAATTTGAGAAGAAAAATAAGAGAAATAAATTTAGAAATAATATAAGATCCATGAATGAATTTAATAAGTTAAAATATATTTCTTGGCAAGAATTCTATGTGCTTATGAACCAAAGCTATTTTACTTTATTTTATTTATTTATTTATTTTTTCCAGGACCGGGAATCAAACTCACGACTTTGCGCTTGCCAGGCAGGTGCTGTGCTGCTGAGCTAAATCCCCAGCCCCGGCAATTTTAAATATTACGCAAGCTTCAGGACTCGGCATTGCCACAATGTGAAACCACAGATGCGGAATCTCAGACTATCTTTTTCCTACAGATGCCAGAGGAAACTGCTCATGTCAGTTACAGCTTTGTGGTTGATTGTGCTTCTTGCAGAGAGAAGCCCAAGTTCATACTTGGCAGAGATGGATGTGGCCATGTAGCTCTACCCTCCTGTCCATGGCACAGGAAGAGCTGGCTAGGCCAGGAGAGCGGCCTGGAAATGAGAGAATGGAATTGGAGGTTTTCAGTGCAGATAGAAAAATGCTCTATCAGCCTTTCCTAATCTTCTAAATTACAGATTTGCTTGATAAGCCAATGGTGCCCATGGACACTTTCCTAGGGGTGGCAGGACTCGTTAAACTGTAAAAGGCAGAGTTGGGAATTAATAAAATAAGAATATCAGATTTTCCTTCTAAAAGAATAAGACTGAGAAAAAAATGAATGAACATCTTTTAGAAGAACAGTTGAGATAAGGAAACGGACCAGAACACAAAATCATCAAGAACTCAATTTTCTACCTGTGTAAGACAGAGAATGTTAGTGCTCTAACTATATGTGATAGATTTTTTAGCAGTTTATTTGTATTGGGGCATGTTCTCAGTGCATAGTGACTGCATTTCTAGGGGGAGTTGGGACATATACTAACGCATTTTAATTCTTTTTTTCATCCGGTGCTTTCCCCCCATCTCCTTCCCTCATCTCCTGGTCCCTTTCCCTTCTGCAAAAGACCTACTTCGCCTTTTTGAAAGGCGATCCAACACCAGTGTTAAAGTAACTGCTAAGAAGCTATGGTGTCTGAAAATGTTCACCATGATTATGTTGTTAATATTCTAAGTGTCACATTCAAAGTGTACAATCAGTCTCAAGTGTAGAATTTTTGTGCATGTCTGTGCTGTTCACTCAGAGATCATGTAGGATCACAAACACCATCCGATATGAAAGTCTTTTATATTTCCTGTAGCATCTAGTTTGGAGCTGAACGTACAATGAGGTTGGAATAAATGCATCCTTTATTGAATGCATTCTATGCATCCTGTACTGTTCTAGGCATTTTTAATGTAGATACTGCTATCTTACATGATGCCTGCATTTTCCAAATTATATGAATTAAGCTAACATGGGAATATTTTAAAATAATCATATGCAATGGAATTACATATACCAAACAAATAGTCATTGTAAATCATTGACAATTCCACTTACACTATTACCTCCCATTACAAGGATAAGACACACATAGTTGCTTAAAAATAAAATGAACAAACAAAAAAGATTACTGAGAAGAAACAAACCTACCAGTCAGTGGTTGACCTATGAAATCCTGCAAGCAGTGATATGCCATCTGTGTGTATTCCATGGTTTATTATTGCAACTTGAGAACCAAAGGAAAAAACTAGGTGACAGGAGAAAGGCTAGGACCTGGTGAATACTGCTTGAGAATAAAAGATAACTAAATGATTTACTTTTGCAAAAACCATTTGATTTTTCACCACTGAGTGATCTATAAATTAAATTTGTTCTAAACATACTTGATGTTTTCTCATTTATTTAGGTACATATCAAGTTATGAGTAATATTGATTCTAACTACTCATATGACTAAATCTTTAGTCAGAGCTCAAGATAACGTAGAAAAAAATTCTTCAAATAAAACATGTTCATGGAGCATAAGAAGTCATTTTTTTTTTCTGAAAGCTCTGAATTTAGTAAACAGACCAGAAGTATAGCAATCTGGAGTTATTCTTGAATATTTGAAATATTAGATCTGAATCCAAAATTCAGTGTTTCTACAGAATGCAGTGACAAAAGTCATGGGGAACAAATAGTTTAAATAAGAGGTAGAAATTATTCAGTTTATCAGTTCTAATTAGAAGGAAAAGAAAAGGTCAAAAATAATATTAAAAGTGATAGTACTAAAAATTAAGTTTTACCCAAGCCTTATGGAAGCATGTGTTTGTAAAAGAGATTTATTATATTTCTTAATACATTAACTTGTCCTAATGACAGGTATTTCCACATAATTGCCTAATTATCTTTCAGTAATTGTAAAATAATTCAAATAATTACCTTTTTAAAACATCTCAATAAAGGACTTTTTACTTGGTTGAGATTTCCAGGGTACCTTCTAAAATCTGTATTTTTTCCAGAGAAAATTATGTTCATTTCATCATATGCACCAAATCTACTTGATGAATGATATAAAAATAGGAGTTACTATAAAAATTCACATATTTAAAATAATTACAAACCTTATAACATAAATTATAACTTTACAGAGTGAAACTATAGTGTAAAGAGTATACTTGAGGACTTAGGCTGGTAAGTGGCAAAATTGGATCTTAGCCTCAGAACTGGCTAAACTTGCAGTACATTTAATACGTTATTCTGCCTCCCCAGCCATGAAAATTTTAGTGACTGACAGCTTTATAGCTATATCTACACTATTCACTTAACTCCTGCAATGTGCCGGTTGCTTGGCAGGAATTATGCTACCTAAATCTAAAGAAGGTACAATTTGATTTCAAGAGCCTCCGCTAAACAGAACAAATTGTAACTATGAAAATTAGCAACACATCAACAATAGGTGATGTTGGTTGACAGTAAGAGGAGACTGTGTGGACTTAAATTGCACTCTGAGTATCAGCTGTGATTTATTTTTGGCTTTTTGGCTGAAGTTGGGGGAGGAATGTCCATAGTCTGCATGAAGATCAAGGGAAGGTGGCAGACAAGGAGGCCAGCATCAACCATGTTCAAAGGCCCTATGGAGGCATTACATCAAGCCCAGGAGGACTGAGTGTGTATAACTGCAGACTTTCCCTTTTTATCACTATGGTAGAAAAGGAAAATGGAAAGAGAAAAACAAGGAGAATGTATATTCCTGTAAGAGAAAGCTGGAAGGTTTTGTAAAAATAATAGCCTTTAAAGGACATTAAACATTATTTTTAAAAAATTATTGATTACCTAATGGATGCCAGAGATACATAGGAGATAGTAAGAAAAGACAATAAAGTAGAGGAATAGGTATAAAGAACAAACTTATATAATAACAGAATAAGATGACTTCAAACATTAGTGAAGTACTGTGGAGGGTCGGAAGAAAAATGTTAATATTGAAGAGTTGTTGTAGGATCCTCAACGAAAGCTCTCATTTACTGAGCTCCAGGACTGACCTCGAAGACTGAGAAATTCTTCTAGAATTAGTTACTTGACTTGGACTCTGCTTTACGATCATCACATTTGGGGGTCCTGATTTACACTAACCTCTTAAAAATAATAATTTTTATTTTATTTGGAAGTTTTGAATTGGCAAGAAAATAAGACGTTCTCATTCCAGATTATCCTATTCTCTCCCTGCTGAAACATTGTCCAAGCCAAATGAATGGAATGTTTCAAGTTTGGTGATGGACAGAAAGAATGATTCCTCTGTTGTGAAACTTTACTGGTGTCAGACCTCATCTGATGGACCTGAATACAACTGAAGAAAGACTACATAGGTCTGTCAAGGTATCTTTCTATTCATCCATGCTGAGAAATATGGATAAAATGTGCCGTTTGTCTCACCTCAGAGCTGACTAGCATCCTCTGTTTGACAGATTCCATAAAGTACAATCAAGTTCTACTTCAGTAGTCTTCAATCTTATGAGTCAACACTATCTTTTTAAGATAACTATGTGTAAGGTACCGTTATAGATATTTTAAAAATATAGTATGTTGATTGAATAATTAGGATATGATAGTAAGGCTCATGGTTTTGAAAATTTCAATTCAGAATCAGCTGTTCTTGTTGCTCTGGGGCTATGGTAGCAAGTTGTGGCAGAAGTGTGAGCAGAGCAAACCCACTCACCTCATAGTCAGGAAGCAAAGGAGGGTGAGAGCAGGGCCAGGATCCCAGTCCCTTCAAGGGCATGTGCCCAGTAAAGTCCTTCCACCTCTTAAAGTTTCCTTCACCTCCCAGTAGTGCCGCTCTAGGAATTAAAGCTTTAACAACAAGTGGTCCATTGGGCATCATTAAGATCCAAACTATAGCAATGTCTATTTCGTGAAATTAGAAAAATTTAACCAACGTGTAACTTTCTTCTTCAGTTCACTTCTCTATTGTTCCTGGAATTTTTTCCCCCATTTTTTCAGTCTGCACCAAGACTTTAGTTCAGTAGCTGAAAACTTTGAAAATTGTGCTGCTCTTGGAAACACTAATTGTGACACTACTGCCATGAAAATCAGCATTAAACAAGTAGTTCCATTATTTACATAATAACCAGATGAGGTTTTGTTTTTGTCATTATTGTTTTTCAAGCACTACTTGGCATTCGAACCAGGATGCTTAAACAAATTTGGGATGTTGAATTCACAGATTACAAAGAGTCATACAACACAGCCTCATAGGATGACACACATGGTGACCTTAGATAGCTGGTAATAGTTTGAAGTGTGTGTACCATGTGCATTTTGTGTATGCTTAGCATCTATTCAGGCTCAACCAAATGTAATTTTTTGCACTCACCTTACTGTTCTTTGGGTTGAAATGTTGCAAAAAATAAATCTTGAAATTTGCTTATTTTCCAGTTTTTCTCTAATCTTTTAATTGCCTTGGAAGAAATTCACAATTTTAAAACCAGCATTATAAGAAAAGAGACTGTAACTTCAGTCATCCTTATAACAGAAACACCCCACCAATATTTTAAATATCTTTCTTGGAGCAATAACTACAGCTCCTTGGATGTCGTAGCTCTTCTTGATTCTGGTTGGGAAAGTATTATCCCTAGGGTGTCTTTGCATGTTAATCTCTTTCAGTTATTTAACTCTCAGAATACTCATTTACCTGGCTTCCAGTCCAGCCTACCCAGGAGTTATACGAGCCTATAGAAAAGAGTACAATTAACTTCAATTGTGAAACTCCTGAGAAACCTAAAAAATGCTGATCAGATGGTCAAGATGAGTAAGTGCTCTCCAGCAGCCGAAATCAAGGCCCCAAAGTCTGATTTTATGGAGATTACCAACAGCTGAGTTTATTAGCATGTAGGCTCTGCTGGTGGAGCGGCACAAAAAGACTTGAGAAATTCTTTGCCATGTGTTGTGATGTGTGTTTTGTTATCTTATAATTCCTATGAGTCTAAGTAAATTGATGATTTAATTATATTTAACGTGGATATTCTCTGACACCACTAACTCCATTTTGAGCTTTTAGTATCAGCTATAACCAAGCCAGGTTTCTGGCTGGTAGCAATGGTGACAACTGTGCACCAATGCACAGATAAGGTGGTTGGTGTCTTGCACTTTTCCCTCCGAAAGTAACATGTGAAAGGAGAGTACCATTCTGGAACTGTAACATCAGTGCCTTCAGACTGCCACTTTGGGGAACCATCACAGTGATTCCTGCCTTTGGGAGAATTCACTCTGCAGTACAGGCGTGAACAGTCCTTTCCTTCAGTGAGGATGACTTGAGAGCATTCTAGACCTGTTCAAGGGTCACCATGCAATGACTGATTTCCCAGATCATTTGGACCATTTCTTCCATGGATGCATTGGGTTTGCTTCCTTACTAGCACTCTGTACTGAAGTAATTTCCTTTTACTTGTTTTTGCCTATAATTTCATATATTCTTTTTGTTTACTTTTGTTTATTAAATATTTTGCCATAATATTTTGCAATACACTGATTAGTTCCAGAGCTATCTTGGTTTCAACTGACATGTAATTTGATTAGAGAATAAAGAGTTTGCCCCTCTCATACAAATTATAATCCCTGAGGTTAAATTGTTACCAGGTATCAGGGAACCAGACCATCCTTATCAGTCCAGCATGGAGTCATGTTACTAAGTTTGGACTTCATGCTTGAGTGACAGTCAATACATAAAGACTTACAGCAGGGGGAAAATGAGCTTCATACGTGTTTATAAAGATTAGTTATCAGTATAGATTATACCCAGTCCAACAAATTCATGGGATGTTCTTAATCTGTGAACATCAGGAGGGTCTCAGAAGTGCAAAGGATAAACCTGAGTTAAGCCAAGCATCTGCTTATGAAAAAAATTAGGAAAATATAATTACCACTTTTTGTTAAGTAGCTAACATACTCCAGGCAATGTTTTGTGTCCTATAGCATTTTGTTTTAAAGTTTTTAGTGACATCTGTGTGAGTTTGATCTTATTTGTTCATATTTTCCCCTAGTTTATGGTGAGATGGGGGCTGTGGTTCAATTAATTTTCCACAAGTTATACATTTGGAATGTATCCCAGTTTATACCAATTCTCACAATATAATTATTCACAGTGAACCTTTTCACTCTAAAATATGTCTCAGCTTGGAAAGAAGAAAGCAAATAGAGGTTCTTATATCATTCCGAAATTAGTACAAGGATTTACCTAAGGTACAGTGCAACAACATTATGGATGCATATTTAAATGTCTACTGAAAGATAATCATTAAAATCATAAAAATGTAAAAATAAATATTAACACAGAAGAAAAAGTACAATAATTAATGCTATTTTATTAACCCAAAAGAAGTCAGAAAAAGGGAAATAAATGATACTAACTAAAGAGTAGATAAAACTAGACAAAAACAAGATAATAGAATTAAATGAAGCAGAGCAGGAATTAATTAATATATAAGTAGATTAAAACACTCAAAAGACAAAATTATTACAATGGATAAAAAAACACCAACAAGATGCAATTAAGCATGTTAAATGTACATTTTAAATATAAATACATAGATATGTTAAAACTAAATACCATGATACAGATACAAGAATGAGCAAGAAAAGAAACTTAGGAGGTGTAGGAGGAAAGAAAGGCAAAGTTTACCAGAGATAAATAGATTTTCGCTAATCTGAAGGCAAGTTGAACTTGAAGTTCACAAAATTTGAAAGTTCAGGCCTCTAGTAAGCCTTATACAAAAATATTACTGTAAAGAAAAGAAATTATGAATGCAAACTTAGTTTAAGAAATAATGAAGTGAATTTTCTAAAAATTCAAAAAGTGGAAGGCTAGCTTTTGAACATTAGAAGCAGTTCTCTCAAATATTATGTTTTTTTTTTGTTGTTTTTTTTGTTTTGTTTTGTTTTTTCTCTGGTACCGGGAACCGAACTCACGACCTTGCGCTTGAAATATTATGTTATTACAATATTTTGCAATTTAAATGCAGAAACATCTGATCACATTGTCATACAGTCACATTAGCTGTTCCTAATGAAACCGTCTTGCTGAGAAAACATAAAACAACAAGAAGTTTATTCAATCCAGTTTTATAACAGCTACATCGTTAAACACAAAAAGATGTTACAGTTGCTTAATAATAAGGAATTTATGATTTCATAGAGACAAAATCATTATTTGGTTGACATTTAGTTTTCCATGATTTGTCTTATAAACAATAAAAGGTAACAATTATATTTCAGAAAATATTTCAGTGTAAATTACATTTTAAAGCCTTTCAGTTGGAGGACATTAAAAATTTCATTGCTTATATATGTAAGTTGCTAAAACTTATCCACATATCACAGGTTAATTAATCACAGTCACATAGATTTTCATGTTGATTGGAGATAATAATATGATTACATTTTCTAAAAGCTTTATGTTTCTCAACTAAAGTGAGTAATTAGAGAATGAAACTATTTTCCCTGTAGCTTCGGCTATGTTTTACATGATGAGGTAACAAAAAAAATGTACTATAAAACACCTTCGTATCAGATATTCTTTGTGAGTCCATTACTGTAAATCTTGACCTACCATCAGCTAGACTTCAGTACAGTACCAAGACTTCACAATGACTTAAGCTACTTACCATTTTAAAAAAAGTGACTCACTCCTTTATTCCAGAACAGTTAAAAATGTTGCTGCCCTTTGGTCTGAAAATGGCTTTTGCTAGTAAAGTCAAAAGAACAGCTATAAGCACTATTTGTACAAAGAAAGTATCTTTGATGGGCTATTTGTACTTAAAAACTATTTTTATTATTTGTGGCTATCTATAGAGCTACTACTATCTGTATGTGGTCCACTTCTCAGGCTGAAGGAAAGGCACACTCATTTCTGACTCTAACCTGTGCTTTCCGGTGATTTCTATGGAGTTGTCTTCTACAGTCTCACAGAGACAATTCACTAATTACTTAATCTCTCTAAGACTCCATAGTCTTGGTTGGTTTCAACCTTGGTTGGTTGCAACTGACCTGTAACACTCTTTTGAGTGTTTGTTATGGTTGATACATTGTGCCAACTTGGGGAGTCTAGAGGTTTGGCTAAGTGACTCAGCAGTTCTGCCTCTTGGGGTGAAAAGGACATGCCCTTACCCTTCTGGGATGTTGTTTATTGTGTTAATTTGAGAAGTTTAGAAGGTTAACTATGTAACTCAGAAGGGGTCCAGGATGCTTAATTTGTATTCATCCTGAGCCTGTGCAAGAGGCAGGCATGCAGAGGGTGTGGGTGTGGAGGACCACCCCCACCTCCCCAGAGCGGGTAGACTGCATAATAAAGGAATTGAGGAAGGACTGGCTGCTGGTTCTTCAGAGGAGCTCCGATCTTCGCCTTCAGCTTGGTCGTCTCCTGACTTCTGGTGCAGACTGTTGGGCCTCCGTCTGGACTCTTCAGCCTTCTGGTGTTGGCTCTCCAGCCTTCATCGTAGATTCTTCAGCATTCGGTCGCAGGCCCATCAGCCTTTTGATACGGACTTGCAAGGACACTGCAGTGAGCTCCAGGCCCGGGGCTAGGCTCTTCAATCTCCAGCGTGCAGACACCCTCTGCACGCTTCCTCATCCAACTCTGTAGCTGACCATTGTAAGCCAAACCTGTAATTCCTTGTACATTTGTTTATCTTGAATTATATCTGTTCCTGTAGTAAACCCTGACTGATACAATGTTCTAATCTACTTATATATTAATTAATTACTGCTCTACTTCATTTAATTCTATTGTCTTGTTTTCATCTAGTTTTATCTACTCTTTAATTAACATCATTTATTTCCCTTTTTCTGACTTCTTTTGGGTTAATCAAACAGTACTAATTATTGTACTTTTTCTTCTTTGGTAATATTTATTTTTACATTTTATATCATATATAAAATAGAAAATAATGCTGATTTTAAAGAAAACTCCAAAGATTAAATACATTAGTGTACTTAGAATGCCTAGTGAAGATCTCAGATTGGCACATAGAAGAGAGTCAATAAAAACCAAGTGATTTATTTGTTAAAGATTTCATTGGAAATGTCCGTATGGCATCTGCCTCTTAATTATCAAATTTATCACTTCAAGTCTTACTCACCATCCAAGTGCAACCGAAACACATTCATCAGGAGTTAATGCTTCTTATTCCTTTGGATGATGTTCCCTGGGTAATGAAGCTTCTCACTCTCCAGGTGTCTAAGTTTTGAAGGGTGGAAAGGTGTGATCATTCTTCCTTGCCTTGTAAGAGTCACAGCCAACACTTCTGTAACTAAAGACAAGGTAACAAGAGAAAAGTATGACAAATTTATTTGACCAGTTTACGTGACATAGGAGCCTTCAGAGTGAAGACCCAAAGATCCTATTTTTATGCTAAGGTTCTAGGAAGAAAGGAC